TACATACTTTATACTCTGAAGCAGGCTGGAAGTTCCTCAAAGATCTGAATGTTGCTTTTTATTTTTTTCCCTCATACTTCTTATCTTCACTTTGTGCAACAGACTACTTCACACAGAGTTTGATTGTTAGTCACTCAGTTGTGTCTGACTCTTTGTGACCCCATGGACTGCAGTTCACCAGGCTCCTCTGTCCATGGAATTCTCCAGGCAAGAATACTGGAATGGATTGCCATTTCCTTCTCCAGGACATCTTCCCAACCCAGAGATTAAACCTGGGTCTCCTGCATTGCAAGTAGATTCTTTACCATCTGAGTCATGAGAGAAGCCCAGACCCAGAGTTTGATTGCTGATTGTTTATTTAGCTATTAAAGGAGCTCATTCTACCTTTTCCATTCACAGGTTGCAGCTTTCTGGAACTGGAACAGAAAATATGAACTGTGCTTATTTTCATAATGGAAAAATTCACCCTACCTTCTGTGAGAATAGACATTACTTAATGTGTGAAAGGAAAGCAGGCATAGTAAAGGTGGAACAACTACTTTAATGCAAAGACAGAGGCAGAACATCACGGATAAGTGCTTGATTGTACAATAAAAGATCTGGGCGAAGGAACCACTAGCCACAGAATTGCCTATTTTTCCCTTTTTTCTGCTTGGAGTCATCTTTGCATTATCTATCCTACCAACAACACTTAGCTCCTTCTTTATATAGCCCTTTATATTGAGGAACAGGTTAGTGCCTTCTTTAAACATCCAGAAGCCAGAATATGAACCCATCATTTGTTTCCCAATTGTTCTGTTCCCATTAATTTTCATTCTCCTTGTCTTCCATCCCTAATTATCACAAGATATTAATACTATGATTCACTGCATCTTCAGACATAAATACATACATTTTACATTGAAACAAGCAAAGTCAGGGCTTCAGTGACTTAAGCTGGGCGAAATATCTAAGTTTGAAGGACAGTATAAGGTGAGAGAAAGTATACTAAACTTGGAATCAGTAGAATTATTTATTTTTATATTAATTTTTATTGGAGGATAGTTGCTTTACAATGTTGTGTTAGCTTCCGCTGGACAGCAAAGTGAGTCAGCTCTATATAGATTTATATTCCCTCTTTTTTGGATTTCCTTCCCATTTAGGTCGCCATGGAGCACTGATTAGAGCTCCCGTGCTACACAGTAGGTTCTTGTTAGTTATCTATTTTATACAGAGTATCAATAGTGCAAATATATCACTCACCCCCCGTTTCCCCAATTAGTGTCCATATGTTTGTTCTCTACATCTGTGTCTCTATTTCTGTTTGCGAATAAGATCGTCAATACTTTTTTCTAGATTCTACATATATGCATTAATATACAATATTTGTTTTTCTCTTTCTGACTTATTTTGATCTGTATGATAATCTCTAGAGACACGGATGGAATGAGAATAATTTAGATGGCATGATCACCCAAGTACAGCCATGGGCCAGTCATGTAGCCTCTTAACTTTCATTTTCTCATGTTTAAAAATACGATAACACCCATCATATACCTCACAGTCCTACAACCTAAAATAAAACCTCAGAGCATTAATTATATCAGAAATGCCATGAAAGCAAGCACAATGTGACTCCTAATTTTTATTCTATGCCTTCAAGCACAGCTCCTGGCTCATAAAAAATAAAAATATTTGCTTCTCATTGTTTGCGACAATTCCTTAGGAGGCACAGTAATCAGTAAAACACTATACAAATATATAATTTCTATTCAAAGTCTACCTCTGGTCAGATTCAATAGCAATAATGTTCTGTCCAAGAGAAGAAAAAGTTTACAAGAAAACAAATGGGACTTGAAAATAAGTAAATGCAAGTTTCTCAGGCTAGTTGAACAGCAAGCACAAATGCTTTATCTATTTCTTTTCCTGACAGTCCTATGTTTGGTTTTTGCTGAGTAACTCATGCAATATTTATAGATATGTGGAGAGAGAGGCACCCTTTAACAGGATAACAGGCAAAATTTTCATTTCTTTTCACAGTTTCTCTAAAGGTACTCTTTCCTCTTAAATTTGTGTTATTAAAATTTATGAGCATGATTCTCAAAATCTCAGCTAAGGTGCTTGTGAAAACATGCAGGAGTTCAAATGCAAATAGTTATGGTACTCAGTGGGAAGGCTGAGAAGAAAGAGTCCCGTTTCTTGTTTGGTTTTATTGGAGAACAATTGCTTTACAATGTGGTATTCATTTCTGCTGCACAATGAAGTGAATTAGCTGTGTGTATTGCCTCCCTCTGGAGCCTCCCTCCCATCCAGTTTCACTCATCTGTTATACGGAACAGAGAACTCAGCTTGGTGCTCTGTGATAACCCAGAGTCCTATGTTTTTATAAGTGCTCCAACTTGATTATGATACAAATATCCTTTAATACATCTTGAGAAACACTACTTTACAACTTATTCCCTATCTGCCTTTTGATAAACTCGTTATTTTCTTTAAAACTCAGTTTGTTTATCTATGAAATGAGTTTAATATTATTACCCTACTTAGAAAGTAATTGTGAGGATCATTTAACACAGTGTGTAAAGCATTGAGCAGAGTACCAAGCATATAATTAATACTCAACAAATATGTGTAAGTTTTATAGCTCTGGCCACCGACATCCAAAGACACTTGGCTGCTTTGCTTTAAACAATCAATAAACAAGCAGATTTGGCAGGAGGAGGGACACTGGGGAAGAACAGAAATACTGAGGATTCTGCTGCTGCTTCAAATATCTTGAGATTTGGCTTTGGAGCATAACGCCATTATTTTCCTATTTTCACTTGTCCATTTAGAGAGTACAAATTGGAACTAATAATTGAGAAAACCAAATTATTAGTTCCAAAGATCAGCCACATCTCTGCAACTTAGTGTTTTATCTCTCCCCAACGGGAAAGCACAGATTTTATATCACTATATATGACTGAATTATAAAGAATAATATTTTAGTGGATGGAAAAATTATAATTAAAAAATGTAAACCAATCAAACCATACCTACAAAGATTCTTTGTATCTGATACTTATACCAAAAGTATCTTTACATGAAGTCAGAATAGCTTGGATTTTAGTAGCACAGTTTCTGTGATCAGCTCACCTAGTTTATATACTAATTCTTCCACTTAATACATGAATGAATTTGGGAAAATATTTTGACTTGTCCATGCTTCTATTTGCAGTTTAGTTGCAACATATTAGTAATAGTAACTATTTCACAGAGCTGCTGTGAAAATCAAAGTAATGCATGTAAAAGACCTTCAAAACAGTACTTGGAACAATAAATAAGACAGTATGATTAAAAACATTAAAAGTAATACAAGTAGCATATTAATCTTTGGTTAAGAGAGCCCAGTGTTTTTCCCAAAGAGATTTATCAGAGAATATACCATACTGGGAACAAACTAGATCTGATATTTAGTGAAGATAAAATTTGAGAGCCCCAGACAGAAATTAATGTCTGTCACTGAGGTTTCATTTCTTCATTCCTGACATGACTCTTAATGCATATTTTTTATGTTTATTGTTTCTTCCTCTTTGTCACCTCAAGATAGAAACTGCCCCATTGAAAAGATGGAAGGGAGTTAAGTCACATTATTTTCTATGTCAGAATCTCAGGTCACATAAAAATCATATGAAATATTTGGAGAATTTGCTGAATATTCCCCTTTTGCTTCTGGAGATGTTCTTGGTCCCATCATACACCTTGGGAGGCAGAGCTCAAATATACAGTAGTATCTGGGCAAACTTGGCCTCTGATTTACAGTTAATTCAACTTTGGGGAGCTACTAGCAGTGTTCATCCCCACTCTAGTGTTCTTACCTGGAGAATCCCAGGGACGGGGAAAGCCTGGTGGGTTTCCCTCTATGGGGTCGCACAGGGTCGGACTCGACCGAAGTGACTTAGCAGCAGCAATGTTCATGGGGTGAAAGGGGAGAATGATCCTGGTGTTTATTCCACTGGCTCTCTCCTATCATGCTGTGGTTTGGCAAAGGCTGCACATTCTATATCTTAGGCCGTGACCTTATCAGATAGGTCACAAAGTTCCAATAAACACCCTTTCTTTAATCTTTTGGTCCCAGGGATGATAATAACTCACCAATGTATATTTCACCCCTGTTTTTGGTTCCCTTATTGCTGTGGTTGTTCAGCCACTAAATGGTGTCCGACTTTGCAATCCATGAACTGTAGCACTCCAGGCTTCCCTGTCCTTCACTATCTCCCTGAGTTTGCTCAAAGTCATGTCCATTGAGTCAGTGATGCCATCCAACCACCTCATCCTCTGTTGCCCTCTTCTCCTCTCGCCCTCAATCTTTTCCAGGATCAGGGTCTTTTCTAATGAGTCCCTTAATCCTTCCCAAAACTTTATAAAAGTGTCCTTGTTAACTGCCCTTAGATGACCCCTGGAGGGTGCCCTTTAGTTTCTTCTGTTACAGAGATCAATAATTGATCCAGTGAGATACTGAAACAAAACAATTTTGCAGATAGTTGGGATTTGCAGACTGTAAATTACTGAGACATGACTTTTGGCCATGGGGACAAATGGTCAATATACAAATGATGATGAAAGTATCAAGTTTCTCAATACCAATACTGTAGTCACAGGATGTGGCAGAAACAATCTTCCATCCATTAAATAATTCATGCTTCCCTTCTACAGTGAAGTTACTACAGGGATCTTGCCAGTCAGGCAAAAATTATGTTGATCTGGCCTAACCTTTAGAACCAAACACGGACATTATTAGTGGATGTGAATGTGATACCCAGTACTTCAAGGTCATGACTTTTAAGAAGTGGTTGTACATTTTCCAGCTTCCCCTTTTCTATCCAATGGCTAGAAGTAGGACAGTTTAATCACTCACAAGATGGAAGGAGCAGGGCTACATTCAGAAGAAAACTACCCATTAACTAGGATTTGTTGTTGTTCGATCACTAAGTCGTGTCTGACTCTTTGTGATCCCATGGACTATAGTAACCAGGCTCCTCTGTCCATTGGGTTTTTCAGGTAAGAGTACTGGATGGGTTGCCATTTCCTTCTGCAGGGGATCTTCCTGGATGAGGGGTCAAACCCGCATCTCCTGTGTCTCCTGCATTGGCAAGTGGGTTCTTCACCACTGAGTCACCTGGGAAGCCCATTAACCAGGATTACTGGAGCCAAAATTGCTACAGAGGAGAATTTACTCCATGCCAGATCTGTTATCTTTTACTTTAACTTTTGCTTCCTGTCGTTTTGTTCACTAAAAGGATACCTTTTTTTTTTTTTCAAGAATAATGTATTCTCTTTCTCTGCTTTTTTCCCCTTTGCTGAATTTTTTTTTTTACTTTTTAAAATATTTAAAAAAATTTTATGATGTTGTGTTGGTTTCTGCTATACAACAATGCCAATAAGCCATAATTATACATATATCCCCTCCTTCCCTAGCCTCCCTCTCCTCCACAGGGAAATAACTGAAATAGCACAATAGTAAATGCATATGTTTGTTGAGTCTAAGATTAAAATAGCAATGATCAAAGACAAAAAAAAAAAAAAAGGATACTGTTCACACATAATAACCTGCCCTGGGGAACCCTGCCCCTCTGCCTAAATGTTAAACCAAAATACCTTTGTTCGGGACCCTGTCCACCTGTGGATGGCCACAGGAAGGAAGAAATTAACATATCCCCCACGCTCACTCCACAGAGACTGGCCATTCCAGGAAATGTTTGTAAGATTGATGGCCTTTTCTATCTTACCTCCTCATCCCCATCCCATCTGTTCTATAAAAGAACCTGGTATTAAGTCCCCATAAGATGGTTATTTTGAGACATTTGTCTGCCATCTTCTCCTATTCACTGCCTTGATACTTCATCTCTCATTTAATTGGCCTGTTGTGTGGTGAGCAGAGTGAGCTTGGACTAGGCAACAAAATATTATGTAAGTGAGAAGTAAACTTTGTGTTAAACAATAATTATTTTGAGGTTTACTTGTCACAGCAACTGCATCACCCCAACTAATATATAGTGTGTACATTTGTTTTAGGGATTAAATCCCTTCCCAGCTTCCTTGTTTAAAGACATACAGTAATGTACAACTCTTTCCATGCTGGTTTGCCCAATGTGAGTTAACCTCATTCTTTGCTATCAAGGTCATCCTCATCTTCACATTCTAACCCAAATATAAGCTCATTCTCTGTCCTTTTCATCTTGACAGTAATCCTGTACTATTACCTTCAACATCTGCTACATTGTAGAAATCAGAGCGATAATCTATTCTGTAACTGGCTATATTGGTTCAGTTTCTTTCTCATTTCCTCCTTTACCAAGTTATGCTTTGGCTAAAACTTCATAAACTTCTACTTTCTGGATGAAGATGCATCTATTCTATTCCTTAAACTCAACGTATTTTCCCAGGGGTGTGAAAAGTTAGCTAATTTCAGTTCTTGCATTAATCTGCTCCTGACTACAAAACAAGAATTTATCTCAGCCTCTCATGTGGATGGCCTTATCCATCAAAGCATCCCAGACATGCAGGAGGATGAAACATACACCTCTCTTCAGTGGGATACTCCAACATCAAACCCTTATCAGAAACATTTGTCTTCCACCAAAAATTCAGGTAACTAGTTCTAACTATTTACACTAAGACTTTGTGGTTTATGGGTTTTCTTTCTCCTGTTCTATGATGAGCCCAAGGTGAAATTTATAATCTGAGACAACCCTCTTAAAAGTATAATAATATGAAAAATATGCTAATATTAAAAATGAAAAATAGTGGAGGAGGAGTAAGTAGAGTTGAAAAACGAAAAGAGAAATGGACTTCGCAAATATGTAGTACATTGGGTTTCTCTCTTTCTCCCTCTCTTGCTGGAAAGACAAAGAATTCCCGGGTTTGGAAAATAAGTGAAAGAGCTCACATTGTTTTTTGTAATTTTAGCTCCCACATAAAAAACATCCTGTAAATTATCTGATAAATACTAAAAAATAAAAGAGAAAACATAGGTTGAGAAAAGTGGCAAACACTTATCAGCCTGGGTCAGCTCCATCTTTAATATAAAATATTTATATCAGTTTCCTTTTGCTTAGATAATAAATTACCACAGATTTAGGGGCATAATACAACATAGCTTTATTTTCTTCTAGTCCTAGAGATCAGAAGTCCAAAATGGATTCTGCTGGATTGAAACCAAGGTGTTGTGGGGCTACCTTCCATAGAGAGTCTCTAGGGGAGGGGTCCCCAAGTTCTAGGAACTAATGACTGATGATTTGAACTGGAGCTGATGCAATAATAATAGAAATAAAGTGCACAACAAATGTAATGCACTTGAATCATCCCAAAACCATCCCCTTTCTTGGTTCATGGAAAAACTGTTTTCCATGAAACCAGTCCCTGGTGCCAAAAGATTGGGGAACACTACTACTCTAGGGGACAAACCATTTCCTGTCTTCTCCAGTTTCTAGAGTTGCATCCTTGCTTTCCTTAACCTGTGGCTCCTTTTCCATCTTCAACTACAGTGGCACATCTTCAAATGTGTCTTGGCTTCCTTTATTATATGGTAGTCTGTTCTTCTGATCTATGTCACATTTATAAGGGCCAGATAAAACAGGATGATCTCCCCATTCAAAGATCCTTTACTTAATTATACATTTAAAGTCTCCTTCTCCTCATAAGGAAACATTTACCGGTTCCAGAGATTAGAATATAGGCATTTTGGGCATTTTGGGGAGAGTCATTTTTCCGCTTTTTTCTTTTTCCGGGGTTAATTTTTTTGTTTTTTTTTCTCTCACTAGCATTAAGAATATAACAAATCACTCACTCATTTTCCCTCCCTGAATTGTTGCAAAATTGTTTTTAAAAACGTTCCTTATCCAAAATCATACGTTCAAAGGGAAATACCTTTGAATCAATCATGCTCAGATGACACCGACCAAAGATGAGGAGACTGGAGACAGCTTTTTAAAATTAATTACTTTATTTATTTATTTGCTATTTATTTTGGGTCTTCCTTGCTGCACGTGGACTTTGTCTCGCTGTGACAAGTGGGAGCTGCTTTCTCGTTGCGGTGTGCGGGCTTCTCACTGCGGTGGTTTCTCTTGTGGAGCACGGGCTCTAGGGCACAGCCTCAGTAGTTGCGGTGTAGGAGTTTAGTTGCTCCGTGGCATGTGGGATCTTTCCAGACCAGGGGTTGAGCCTGTGTCCCCTTTATTGGCAAGAGGATGCTTAACCACTGAAAGTGAAAGTGTTAGTAGTTCAGTCGTGTTTGACTCTTTAAGACCCCATAGATTGTAGCCCACCAAGCTCCTCTATCCATGGAATTCTTCAGGCAAGACTACTGGAGGGGGTTGCCATTCCCTTCTCCAGGGGATCTTCCTGACCCAGCGATCTAACCTGGGCCTCCTGCATTTGCCTCTGAACCACCAGGGAAGCCCTCTGAACCACTAAACTGCCAAGAAGTCCTGGAAACAGCCCTTTTACTGTCAAAAATTAAAGCCTACTGCCTAGTTTGCCATCATCTCTAAAAGACTGTTGGAAGAGAATACATCTAACAAGGTACTGAACTGGTGGTGTCATACAAGGATAAGAGAAGTATGTCGTGAAAACTGTCCAAGCTGGCATTTTTCCAAGTTAAGACTTGCATTTCAAAGAGTTTGAGTTCACCTTTTTCTGTTATACACAGTTACAATGTTACCTCCTCATTTTACTCAGTTTAGTCCTTTCCTGACCCACTTCTTTCCCCTACTTTCTCTAAATCAATTTCATTGCTTCTATTCCTTGTTTAGGAGTATGGTGTCTTGTGACGGTGATCTTATGTATTTTCTGCATTGGCTCATTAGCAACCTCCATTTTCTTGGGCATCAAATGTAAGTATAAAAAGATATCTTCAAAATAATCTATAGATAGATAAGTTACATACTACATGTAGCATTACATAGAAGTATGCATATCATTTTAACTGGAACTTCATAACTTATAAATTGATAAATAAATCAATTAGAAACACCTAAATAAACCAGCCCCTAACACCCTGTATCATGCATCGAACCTGGACTGGTGATTCATTTCACATATGATAGTATACATGTTTCAATGCTGTTCTCCCAAATCATCCCACACTCACCCTCTCCCACAGAGTCCAAAAGACTGTTCTATACATCTGGGTCTCTTTTGCTGTCTCGCATACAGGGTTATTGTTACCATCTTTCTAAATTCCATATATATGCATTAGTATACTCTATTGGTGTTTTTCTTTCTGGCTTACTTCACTCTGTATAATAGGCTCCAGTTTCATCCACCTCATTAGAACTGATTCAAATGTATTCTTTTTAATGGCTGAGTAATATTCCATGGTATATATGTACCACAGCTTTCTTATCCTTTCATCTGCTGATGGGCATCTAGATTGCTTCTAGGTCCTGGCTATTATAAACAATGCTGTGATGAACATTGGGGTACATGTGTCTCTTTCAAGAGGGATGAGATGGGGAGGGAGGTGGGAGGGGGTTCAGGATGGGGAACACATGTACACCCATGGCAGATTCAAGTCAATGTATGGCAAAACCAATACAATATTGTAAAGTAATTAGCCTCCAATTAAAATAAATTTTAAAAAAAGAAACACCTAAATGAATATAAATGATATAAAATAATGACTTCCTTATTTAAGTTATGGAACATTCATTAGCTATAACTCTCTAAAGCACTTGGGTGCTACTGATAACTTTTAATGTTCAATGGCAAGCTGTTTAACTCAAATCCAATACCATAGGTCTCTTTGGGGAAAATGATGCAAATAATTGCTTACATTATGATCCCATTTATGAATTATGTTAATATGCCAAAGCATGCAATTTGACGGTTTTCAGTACTATGCTCTTCCTTTTCTAATATACATTTATTCTAATTATACAGATTATTTTATTATGAACTTTTCCGTTTATATTAGACAAGGTACAATTTAGTATGTTTAAGACAAATGTGAGAACTTTACTTGGGCCAACATTTTGCCACATTTCTTTTTTTCTTTCAGTTCAAAGTGAAGACATGCTTTTATATATAGTAAATGAATTTTTTATAAAATGTAACAATTACAGAACCACAGGTTCCAGAAAAAAGGCCAAGAACCTTTATTGTCACTTATGCTAGCACAAAGAATATACTTAGAAAGACAGTGGTGAAGAGTAATTGTCTAGATAATTCTTATGTCTTGTATGCTTTGTCAAATCATTTCTCCATCTAGGCGGAATTAGCTGGTGATGAATTAACTGCTGTAGCAAATGAATAGAACCCAGGAGGGAGTCATGGAAACTTCTGATTTGTAGCCAAATCAAAAAGAAGTCATGTTAACCTGGGGATCTACTACTTGCATTGGCATTTGAGGTGGAGAGCAGTCTTTGGGACGGAGCTCTTAACCTCTGGAAACTGACACTATTTCAAGGAAGATAGTGTCAGAATTAAATTAAATTATAGGACACCCAACTGGTGTTGTGGAGTAGGGCAAGGGGGTGGGGTGGAATGGGAACAATAAATTTGGTGAACAGAAGTGTCAGAAATGTGAGTGCGGTAGTAGTGTAAAAGTCAAGGAGATTCAAACATATGCAATTTGCATCAGGATACATGGAAGGTAATTTGGAAATATCTAATGCAATGTAAATGCACAAAATTTTGACCTATTAACTTATCTTAAAAATACACTTATACAAATGATAACAATTTTTTTACATGGTTTTTTGGTTTTCATTTGATCACTTAAAATGTATTCTTGACATAATACTATGTTAGTACATAAAGAGCTTTCTCATTTCTCATATGTTTTTCTGTTTCTGACTATGTATAACTAAGATTCCTCATTACAGTATTTCTTTCTACAATAACAAAAGATTACAAAAAGACAATCAATCACTATTAAAATAAATCATGATATATCCATACAATAGAATCCAATATAAAAAAGAATGAGAAAGCTCTTTATGTACTAACATAGATTAGAAAAAATTACAATTTTATGTAAATACAAAAGACCCTAAGTAGCCAAAGCAATCTTGAGAAACAAAAATGGAGCTGGAGGAATCAGACTCCCTGACTTCAGACTATACTACAAAGCTGCAGTCATCAATAAAGTATGGTACTGGCACAAAAACAGAACTATAGATCAATGGATAGAAAGCCCAGAGATAAACCCATGAACCTATGGGTTTGTCATAATCTATGACAAAGGAGGCAAAAATATACACTAGAGAAAAGACAGCCTTTTCAATAAGTGGCACTGGGAAAACCAGACAGCTATGTGTAAAAGAATGAAATAAGAGCATTCTCTAACACCATACACAAAAATAAACTCAAAATGGATTCAAGACCTAAATGTATGGCTGCACAATGTAAAACTTAGAGGAAGACATTGGCAAGAACAGTCTTTGACATAGATCACAAGATCTTTTTTGACCCACCTTCTAAAGTAATGAAAATAAAAACAAAAATAAACAGAGGAGACTTAAGAGCTTTTGCACAGCAAAGAAAGACATATATGAGACTAAAAGACAACCCTAAGAATGGGAGAAAATATTTGCAAATCAAGCAACCAATAAGGGGATTGATCTTCAAAGTATACAAATAGCTCATGTAGCTCAATATCAAAAAATGAACAACACAATAAAAAATGGGCAGAACACCTAAATAGACATCCTTTGTAGCTTTTAATCATAAATATAATGAGTAATATGTTGTTCTCTTCAGTCTGCATTGAAGGTTTATTTTGTTATGTGTCAGCATTTTATCAGGAATGGTTGTTATTGTTTGAAGTGTTTCAGATGTCCACTACTATAATGAAGCAGCAAGAAAAACTCATCCAACAGGAGAGAGCACTGCTCAACTTCACACAGTGGAAGAGAAGCCCCAACCTACAGATGACATATTGCCAAACCTTAATGCAGAATTCTTTCAATTCAGGTAATTGATATAAAATCAATTTTCACTGTGCAGATACCAATGTACACACCAGTTCCTCAAAATAACTACAGCAAAACAAAAAACAAAAACCCACAATAACACATATTTCTCTGTAAATTATAGTCAGGATTTCATAAAAAAATAGGAGAGAGATACCTTTGATCTGCTCTTCAGTTCAATGTCATTTATACATACATCAATGCTAAGTCACTTTAGTGGTGTCCAATTCTTTGTGACTGCATCGACTGTAGCCCGCCAGATTCCTCTGTCCATGGGATTCTCTAAGCAAGAATACTGGAGTGGGTTGCCATTCCCTCCTCCATGGGAATCTTCCTGACTCAGGGATCGAACTCACTTCTTCTGCATCTGTTGCATTGTAGGCTGATTCTTTACCACTAACACCACCTGGGAAGCTCACATTACATTAATAGTATATGGAAAATACTGAGGTTCCACAAAAAATGAAAAAAAAGAAAATATACAGGCAAATGTCAAAACGTAATGTGTGAGATGAGTAGGTAAGATTAAACAAAAAGAGAAGCATTTCATGTTTCATCCAATCATTCAAATTTGTGTGAATCTCCAGTATTCTTGCCTGGAGAATTCTATGGACAGAGGAGCCTGGCGAGCTGCAGTCCATGGGTTCACAAAGAGTCTGGTACAACTGAACACACATTCTTACACCTACACATAGAAAATCAAATTTTCTGTAGTGGCTATCATTTTAGTAATTGTCAGTAAACCAGGTAGTTCCTTCTAATTGATATTTAATCAAGTAAATGTTTTAAAAAATGCAGTGTTTTAGGGACTGCTGAAAGCATGGGTTAGGCCCGCCTCTGAATCATCAACCTTACTTAATCAGCATTGTTGCTGTGTCGTCGCTCAGTCACATGATTGCTTAAATCAGTGACAAAATCCATCTTGGAGATTAATTCAAATCCAGCATGTTTCTCAGCCTTTCAACTGCCATTGTCAGCATTGCTTATGCTATAACTTTAATAATATTCAGGATACTGATTAGAGTCGTTCTCAAAGGATATTGAAGAAGAGCCCTAAATAATTTGACATCTGGACCATGGAAACTGACAATGAACTATTTGTGACCCTAAGTAGAAGGCTTTTCCCTGGAGACTACAGTTCTGAAAGTATCAGAGTCTTTCCTTCTATAAAATTGTGTTAGAAACACTTGGTCCAAGTTTTGCTCTTTGATTCCCCTTTTATACATCTGAGCATCCTTCTTTCATGAGTACATTTTTTCTTAAGATAAGTTCTGTAAAACTGGTAAAACTTTAAGACTTACTTCTTAGTTACATCAAAGTCCTAAATTAAACTTATTGGTCACTTGTTCAATTTTCCTCACCTACATATTTTAAAATCACTCCTCAAGGTGCCCTGTTTGTTCTCTCCATTATATGAGAAACATTTTCATGCTTGACTCTCAGAATTTAAACATCAGCTTGAGGCTCAGTACATTCTCAACTAAACAGAGCCAATAATATTAATGGACACAAAACAATAAGCAAACAAGTGAAGATTATAAATGATGCAAGGTTAAAAGGAGGAAAGATACCTAAAAATAAAATAATCAGATCAATTATTATAGAAGAGAAACAATCTGGGAAAAATATTCCCAAATTAATTTTATCTTAAACTCTTAGAGACCTATTGCATTTGGAAGTACCTATACAAATCTTAAAGTATTCCGCTTCGAAGAAGTTTAAATTGCTGAGAACTGCATCATATGAGCCATTGGGTTAAAGCAGGGGTCCCCAACCTATGGGATCTAATGTCTGATGATCTGAGCAGGAGTTGATGTAATAATAATAAACATAAAGTGCATAATAAATGTAATATGCTTGAATCACCCTGAAACCATGCCCTGCTCCCAGGTCCATGGAAAAATTGCCTTCCACGAAACCGATCCCTGGTGCCAAAAAATTGGGGACCATTGGAAAGAATTCAGCCTCACTGGGAATAATACAAGGCATTCTTTTGCAGAGATGTGCTACCAATATTTTTACAATAACTTTAATGAAATGTTTATATTTGAAGCCTATAACTGCACCCCTTGTCCAAACAACTGGATTCAGAATGGAGAAAGTTGTTACTACGTCTTTGAAAGCTGGAAATTTTGGCACACTAGTAGAGAGGATTGTTGGAAGAAGGGCTCTGATCTTCTGCAAATAGAGAGCAAAGAAGAAATGGTAAACACTGCTTTATGATTTCATATCATTCTGAAAATACCCATGAAATGAAAAGACTGATTCTCATAGAATTCCTTAATACTCTGTAACAATGATATATTTGTTGGGGAAAAATAAGGTTTAACATTCAAAGTAGGAATTGGCATGGCTTATTTTCCTTTTAATTGGAGAAGCAAAATATAGGATGGTTATTCAGAAATCAGGGAGAATATGTTAGTTCTATGTTATTTGTTAATTAAAAAGGGGAGGGAGCAAGAGAAATTCCATTTTGTAACATGCTAATCCACTCCCAGATATGCACACATTATAATTGTATATATGTTTAATTTTTTTTAATTTAAAATTTCAATACTTTAGGGAGGTATACTAAACTATAACAATTATATAATTATCAAGAAAAGTAGAAGTACAAAAAGTGAGGTGACATCATGAAATGGAGAGATCTGTGAAGATAAACATTTGTTAAATGAACTGTTTAATTGACATTAAACCTAATTTACTAATATTTTAATGAGTAAGATGTTTTCTTGAAATTGTTATACCCATATATTATGTGTGAAGTAGAAAGCACAGTTATACATTTCTGAATTTATTAAAAATGTATGTCTGCTATATTCAGTAATTAGTCAAAGCTCATTTTTATAAGAATACTAGAACAATTTGTTAAGGATATATAATATACCAAAACAACTTGGACTAGCTAATGACAGTCATGGGTTTGCACTATTTTTCTGTGCAAATTAAGTGACAGAAGTTAGAAGCATTTATTCCTACAAAATATGCCTGCAGTTAAGCTACTTCTGGAGTCTTCTAAACTATTTCTCACGCTAACGTATCTTGGAAAAGACATATATACTATCTGCCAAATTCTGAATCCATTAAAATTATCTTGATATCAGATGCCTATTTTTTTCATAGTTTTCAACACCACCTTGATCATTTAGCAATAAGGGGGAAAGTATACTTACTTTAAAGTCTCTCTCTTTCTAGCCTTCAAATTCTAATTACATTTGTAGAGGCAAAATATCAAACTTATATTTCATGGTAGTTTATTAGCTTTTTGTTTGTTTTGGAGTACCTTGGTTCATTGTTCAAGTCTTGTTTCTTATAGAACTTTATCATGGGCAGCCTGAAGAAGATCAAAAGAAACTATGATTACTGGGTAGGACTGTCACAGAATGGGCCCGACCAACCTTGGCTTTGGCAGGATGGCTCCTCTCCTTCCGCTGACCTGTAAGTCTCTAAGGGAAATGTTCCTAGAATTAGACACAGGTGGGAAATTTGCCATTCCTTTTATCTTATACCTTACATTTTCTCCAGGAGACATAATGAGCATGATAATTTCATAAGCTTCTGATTGGAAACCAAGCCAAGATAAAGAGTAGCTACGTGGCTTCTAAATAGTTCTCCTTCTCAGCCCCACGTGAACACATTCACATTAAAATCTGAAAGTCTGAATGAATGATATGTGATTATCAAATACATATCCTTTGTATCATTGAATGGAGAGAGTGCTAATTAAGCAATTCCCATAGTAAGATTTCAGAAAGAACTGGGGAGACTGGTCAGCAGTGCCTTCATATTTTGAAAACTAAGAGTCAGAAAAGAGATTTGAAATTAGAGCCTATATTTGTGTATTCAAGCATTTTTAAAAATATGCTGCTCGTTGAAATAATATTTGCACATATTATTTTGAGAAAATAGCGCTGTTATTGAAGAAGGAGGGAAAAACTACCACAAGAGGGTGACAGATTAAAACAAAAAGCTGTGCATCTCTCATTTTATTGCCCAAAGAACATCTCTGTGAGCCCACACCTAACCTCAGATACACGGACTTGCCACTCCAGGTTGCCAAGACAGAGATCCCAGTCAACTAATCAGGTCTGTGGATACCTCAGAGACAACGACCTTTCTTCTGCAAACTGCAGCATTTGGAAATATTTCATCTGTGAGAAGTACGCACTAAGATCTTACACCTGAAAGAAACTTTGCTTAAAGTGATCACTCCATTATGATCATATTTGCAACAGATCCTTCAAAAACCTGTAATAATGAGCCTACGAGCCAGCGCAGAACTAAACCAGTGCAAGGGCTGTAAAACCAGCTACCTGGGACACAAAATCTATCTTGCCTTTACACTTGGTAGTATTCCTCAGTGCTTTCCAGATGTTTCTTTGACACTGTTCAAATTAATTACCAAGGATAAAATTGGTTTAGAGCAATAGACGACAAAACTGTAAAGAGTGGAGAACAAGCTGAAGAAAAATCATTTCCATTTGTCTTTTATTTTTCTTTCTCTCTCTATTTTTTTTTTAAATTTAGAGTGACTGTAAACTCTACAGAAAAATCAATAAATCACTGGCAAGATGATGCAATTTTAGCTAACTGATGCCTTTTTTAATAAATGAATAAATGTGATCTCACTGTTTGCAAAATCTTTCTATGCATTTACTGGGCTTGCCAGGCATTATGTTATCAGACTGGTAGGATGGAAAGACGGTGGCATGGATTTTCAAATTGGAAAGAAGATAGGCTGCTATCTGCTGCCTGTAAGACAAAAGCGTCTTTAGGACTGCAGAATTTTACTGGAGAGAAGAAAAACCAGAGCTACATGTACGTGGAAGGAACAATCAGGCTGGCACGGCAGCGTGTCTCCAGTAAAGAAGAGCTGTGACCCATATGTAAAATAGACAGCTAGTGGTGGGAAGTTGCTATATAAACAGGGAACTCAACCCAGTGCTCTGTGAAAACCTAGAGAGGTAGGATAGGGTGAGGTGGGTGGGAGGAGGGTTCAGGTTCACGTATGCTTGTGGCTGATTCATGTTGTTGTATGGCAGAAATCAACACAACACTGTAAAACAATTATCCTTCAATTAAAAATAAATTTTTTAAAAAACTACAAAAATAAAAGAGAATTGTGAGCTTCTTTTCTACCTCTTACTGACCATCCCCACTGCTCACATATCAAATGATTCGTGACCTGTACGACAGACTCCAGGTTCATCCACACTACTACAAATGACTCAATTTCATTCCTTTCTATGGCTGGATAATATTCCTTTGTATGTACGTACCACATCTTTATCCATTCATCTGTTGATGGACATCTAGTGTGCTTCCTTGTCCTGGCTAAAATAGTGGCTGCAGTGAACTGTTATACAGAGTGAAGTAAGTCAGAAAGAGAAAATCAAATAACAGATATTAGTGCATATATATGGAATCTAGAAAACTGGTACTGCTGAAGCTATTTGCAGGGTAGGAAGGAATAGAGACACAGGTGTAGAAACAAACTTGTGGACACAGGGTTGAAAAGGAGAGGGTGGGAGGAACTGAGAGAGTAGCTTTGACATATCTACACTAGCATGTGTCAAATGGTGTCTAGTGGGAAGCTACTGTATAACATGAGGAGCTCTGCTTGGGGCTCTGTAATGATCTAGTTGGGTGGAATGGGGGTCGGGGTGGGAGGGAGGCTCAAGGGGGAGGGGATATATGTATACATGTGGCTGATTCACCTTACTGTAAAACAGAAACTAACACAACATTCTAAAGCTATTACACTCCAGTTTTAAGAGAAAGAAAAAAGAAAAGACTCATCATCTGGATCCCTGAGACTAACATTCCAGCACTTTTCACTACATCTCACAGTACCTCAATTTCCTCCTTGAAACTAATCATAGAATTTGCTTCAAAATATTGTTTGAGGATGAGATTATCCATGTATGTAAATTTGCTGAGAATGGCATCTTACATGGAATTTAACACTCTACTTGTGCTTGCTGTTGTTGTCTGGGTAAATCCCCAGTCATCTCTAGACATCAACCTCTCTTGTGTACTCCAGATAAAAACAATCCCTTTACTGCTCATGTTATAAGGATATCAAGAAGACAAAGTTTACAGGTAAATATCACCAAGTTTCTGGAGAGGATACTTGTCTTAAACCTGATGAATCTATAGACAATCTCTGTCCTACGTCTGCAGATTCCCTGAAGCATGGACTAGCTTGTTCCCTAGAGACAATGGATATGAAAGTGTCTTGGGACTTATAGGAAGGAAATTTTCATTAATTATTATTATATTACTTTTCTACCACTTATCTACCATCCCTAGAACAACACCTTACCATAAAGCAGACTCTCATCAAATACATGCTAAATTAAAAATACTTTTACTTAATCTCTCATTTCTGACAAAAAGGAGCTGAGATATGTAAGATTCTTATCGTTCTCTCCTTATAACAAAGACCCCACTTAGAGTAAAATGAAATCTAATTTATTGAGACAGTAGAAATCATTTGCCTCCTATACAATGTCAGGAACTTCTGTTCTTACTTCATCAGGCACTCTGTCTATCAGATTTAATCCTTTGAATCTATTTCTCACTTCCACTGTATGCAAAAAGGCAAAATGGTTGTCTGAGGAGGCCCTGTAAATAGCTGTGAAAAGAAGAGAAGAGAAAGGCAAAGGAGAAAAGGGAAGATATACCCATTTGAATGCAGAGTTCCAAAGAATAGCAAGGAGAGATAAGAAAGCCTTCCTCAGTGATCAGTGCAAAGAAATAGAGGAAAACAATAGGATGGGAAAGACTAGAGATCTCTTCAAGAAAATAAGAGATATCAAGGGAACATTTCATGCAAAGATGAGCACAATAAAGGTAAACCTAACAGAAGCAGAAGATTTTAAGAAGAGGTGGCAAGAATACACAGAAGAACTGTACAAAAAAGATCTTCATGACCCAGATAACCACAATGATATGATTACTCACCTAGAGCAAGACATCCTGGAATAAGAAGTCAAGTGGGCCTTAGGAAGGCCCTATGAACAAAACTTGTGGAGGTGATGGAATTCCAGTTGAGCTATTTCAAATCCTAAAAGATGATGCTGTGAAAGTGCT